AACATAGGTACCGTCTCCTAAAATTGCGCCATCAGCTGATGATGTCACTGCGCATTCACAGTGCGCTCTGCATTCAGGGCACACGCAATGTGCAGTATTGGTGACTCCCATGCGCATGTGCGCATGTGACATCATCATGTCATTCCAAAGAAAAAAAAAGTTAGCAGAATTTATTGCTTTAAAAAAAGAAAACGAATGCAGCCAGCCTCTATGGAGCAGTAATATTCTACATGTGACATTGTTTTGAGGATACATGTTACATTTTATAAATAATTTCCTCTTCTTCCACTATTTTTCTTGCTGTGATCTGCCATGGCATGCTGGGACTTGTAGCTCCACAGCCAGCAGTGTGACATAGTGGTGTCGGTGTCATTAGGCTGAGTCTCATGGACAGGGTGAAGTCTCTCCTCCGCCAGGCTCTCTCTCCTCCGGCAGCAGCAGGCTGTCCCTCCCTCCCCCTCTCCTCCCCGGACAGTGCCGGAGCACGGTGGGGGGTGGTGTCTCTTCTTGGAACAGCGGCACTCATAGTCGGGCCGGGCGAGCAGTTTCAAGTCCCCCCTAGGAAATCAGCCAATCAGAGCGTTTTGATCCGCAGCCAGTTTAAAGAGACAGGAAGCTCCGGCTCGCTTCGCTTAAAGGAGCAGTAGCCCAGTAAAGGGGGAGATGGGGGTGGGGGGAGCTGTGCCTCCATGAAGGGACATGCTATACGATTAAAGGAGTAACCCCCAGAGGCAGATCTGTTCTCTAGTCAATAATCAGGAACAAATAATGGATGTGCTCCTGTTTGGTTCTCAGATTAGAGGGTGAATGATCTGTAGGCACTGAGCTGCCAGCAGACAGCAGGAGTCATGCAGCAGGCATTTTCCATAGGTGTCCCCCCCCCCCCCCCCCCCCCAGCATCATTAGATCAGTGCCCTGCCCCCATTAACCCTTTAGCTGCACTGCACAGGCCATTGTGCTTCTGCTTTTAGAATTGAATCGGGGGAGGAATCCTTATTACATAATGGCGGTCATACACATAACAATCTGATCATACGATTCCTCGCTGAATGGGGTAATATGATCAGACCGCTGAATTATCGAAAAGACACATAGGGATTGATTTACTAACGGCACTTTGAATGCGCCTTTGCACTCATAATTTGGTAAAGCTTCAGTTTGAAAAGAATATCCAAACAGGCGTAAGGAAAATTAAAAAAATAAAAATAAATTTTGTTGCTTGCATTGCATTGGATGACGTAAATCACTAGAGCTTCACCGCATTTACTAAGCTCAGGGGAACATCAGTGCAACTGCGCTTGCAAAGCGTACAGGCTATTTGCCTTTAGTAAATCCACCCCAATGCGCGTCATCCATTGATTACACTGAAAGTATTCTGATTAGTCTGGATGGAAAAGTCCGATCGTAAGAAAGTAGATCTTTCAACCAGATTGTTATGGCGGCCGTACATGCTCTGATTGTATTATCTGATAGATATGTGGATAGCTAAACATGATAAAATCGGCAAAAAAATCTAATAGCCATAAAGGCGCTTTTAGATGGGCAGCTGAAGGGGGTGGTAAAAACAGAGCCCGTCAGCCCACTTGAATTGTAGCAACACAGCTGGATGGGGCTGTACACATGCTATAGCCAGGGGCGGACTGACCATTTGGAAACTCGGGCACTGCCTGAGGGCCCTGGGTCAGTAGGGGGCCCCATGAGATGCCCCTGGTACCTTTTTCATAGGTTTTTTTGAGTTTGGGCAAGGACACAGAGGCCCCATGATCCCCTATTGCCCGGGGACCCCATGACTTGTCAGTCCACCCCTGGCTGCGGCCATGATTCTTTGCAGAGTTTTTAACTCGGTGCGGATTTTCCCAAGCAGCACCCCCTGTCCAACTCATCCATTGAGTGCAATGCGGCTGCACTGCAACCGTAAACCGAACACATGGCTGGTAGTTGTCCCACAATATAAAATTGTTGTTCAGCAATTTAAAAAGAAAAGAAAAGTATATCAAAAATAAAAAAACAGATGTTTAGGAGTCAGCAGGAGCACCAGTGACAGCCACTGCATGCAAAGCTGAGTGAAGCCTAAGTCTCTTCTGATAGATCGGCCGGGGTGGAAAATGATCAGTCATTATGCATCGATCAGCAGCACTCAGATGCTTTGGTTATTAATCCGATCAAATGTCGATCCATCAGTTTGGGAGAAATCCGCTTCCTCTGTGTGTGGTGTATCAATTGATAAGAATATTCGATCTATAATCGATAAACCAATCAGGAAAGAATGAGCCCTGGATCAGATATATGCGGTGTGTTTGCGCACGCACGTGATGGGTACAGTACCCGTTCATTTGTATAGGCTGCTTTACCCATGAAAAATGTGGGCAAAGAAGTCAGTGACAATTTTTTTTAAAATTGTGCCGCACCTAACCGCATGGTGTTGCGTAAAAGTGAACGGCAACCCTGTGCGTCTGCTAAAGGGCAGCATGTTTATGTGCAGGTTGGGACCGCATGCAATTATGCATGCATTCCAGACCCACACCAGTGTGAACCTAGTCTGATGAATTGTAGCTGGAGAGATCATTCTGTGCCCTGAGAGGATGTTATTGTGTACAATTGAATCATTTGTATCCTGTATAGTATCATTGTCCATCTCTTGTTATAAAATAGATCACAAAGTACGGCACACCGCATAGATTTCACTGTGAGCCCGGGTTCACACTTCTGTGGTGCTGCATATTGCATGTGATTCGCCCAGGAACTGCACTGCATTCCTGTGCAAATCACATGCGAATTCTGTGCGGTGCGATTTGAGCCACACATTTTGTATGGCTCAAATTGCACCGCATCCACACCAAAAAGGTGCAGGACCCTTTTTTTGGTCCGCAGTAGAATCATATCGCATGGGTATTCACACTCATGCGATCTGATTCTGCACATAGCACTGCGTTTTGTAAATCGATTTTGGGGTGTTGTCAACTTAACATACACACCCGCGGCGGTTTGCATGAACGGGGTGCGATTGTGATGCGGTGCAAAATTCGCACAGAAAATGCTGCAAATTCCACACCGCATCAGTGTGAATCCAGGCTGAAAATAAGATTTCCGTGAAAATTCACCATTTTGGCAAAATGCGTTAAAATTAATGGAGAAGGTGAAATTAAAGGCTTGTTTTATTACTATTTTTATTATTATAATATGGGATTTATATAGCGCCAACAGTTTACACAGCACTTTACAACATAAGGGAAGACAGTACAAGCACAATAAATTCCATACAGGAGGAATCAGCGGGCCCCGCTCATTAGAAATCAGAGGGCCCCACTCATTAGAGCTCACAATCTAAGAGGGAGGGTCAAGTGATACAAAAGGTAATAACTGTGGTGGATGAGCTCATTGAGAAAATAAAAGTACGGTTGCTAGGTGGGGCAGGATAGGGCTCTCAGAGGAAAAACTGGACAGATTATTAGAGATAAACTGACAGATTGGGGTAGGGAGTTACAGAGAATGGGAGATGCTATGGGAAAGTCCTAAAGTAGAGCATGAGAGGAGATGACATGGAAGCTAGAGAGCAGGAGGTCTTGAGGGAAAACAAGAGAACAATTTGGTTGGTATTTTGAGACTAGGTTAGGGATGTAGTTTAGTTTACACCACAGTCCATACATTCTGTGTGTAGTTCCACATGCAGTTGCGACTTGCGCATTTGGGTGCATTTGCTATGTATTTTCTTTACATTTTTTAAGCTTTTTTTTTTTTTAACTTGAGTAGCATTTTTTTTCTTTATTTAATTCGATCACCGATAGGATAAACATAACTGAGTTGCATTTACATGCATTTGCTGCGCATTCCTGATACAATTAAAAATGCGTCCAGATGCATCTGATGGTCTTTTAAGGATGCAATGGGCTTTGCATGGCCCCTGTGATCCTAAAGTATCCTGGACCTGGTCCTGTACGAGAAACAGCCCTTCCTTAGCTTCACTCATTGATGTGTTTTTCTTACAAAGAAAAAAAATGGACAACAAAAAAAAGCAAACTGAAAACAAAATGTAAAGTGTCAGTAAACAAATACACAAAGATGAAAAAAGAGCACTAAATAAATAAATACACCTAAAGATACACTATATATATATATATTAAATGTCACCTAAGCAGAACAATGAACAAAACTGAGAGTTGCTTCTTTGGTAAACATGGTAATTCAGTAGCAAAATTAATGTGCAGGAAATGGCAGGTGGAATGCACAGGCTCCTGCAGACTCTTGGTTAAAGCGGAACTATACTCACCTTGGCTCCAGCGATGCGACGTCCTGCAGCTTCCTGCCAGGCACAGACATATTTGATCCAGCTTCCGGGTGTCGAGCACCGGCTGCTTTCATTGGCTGGACCGATATGATGTCACTCCTGCACATGTGTGGGAGCTTAGTTGGCTTCGGTATTGCCGAATCTCTAGAGTGAGCTGTGCATGCGCAGCTCACTGTATGGGGTGGACAGGCATGTCGGTAAGTTGTCTCTTCTGCATTACAAAACCTGCCTGTTGGCCCATTTTTATAGTTTACATCAAGGTTCATTTTAAGGAGCTGCAGGAAGAGTGGATGGACTACAAGAATGGCGATCACCACACTTGCGTTCCATTGATGATTACAAGTGCTGTGGTAGCAGATGGGACTTGTAGTTTATTCATTCATAGATCTCTGTGAGTGAATGACACGGCTGTGTGGGCGGAGTCACACAAAAATAATAAAACTGATAAGGAGAAGAACCCCGGATCCTGTGGGTTTGTGGTGAGGGTGGGGCAGCATGGCACTATGTCACTTCCTAAAAATGGGTGTAACATGGCACACATGGTGCTAACAGCCTAAGGATGTTAAAGGGGGCAGTGGGCTTTGACGGCTCTTACTGAAGCTGCTCCTAACTAGAGATCAGCACATTTCTCCGAATGTGTCTCCATCTCTGAACTCTCATTTTTGCTCTTTTCACCTATGGGCTGGGTCATTCCCAGGGGCGGACTGACAACTCATGGGGCCCCCGGACAATAAGGGATCATGGGGCCCCTGTGTCCTCGCCCACACCCAAAAAAGCCTATGAAAAAGCCAATGAAAGGTACCAGGGGCATCTCATGGGGCCCCCTACTGTCCTCGGGCCGTGCCCGAGTGCTCGAATGGTCAGTCCGCCCCTGGTCATTCCCTCCCTGCAGCACACATACATAAAAGGGGTGGGTACTGGTGACATCAGTTCCCTTATATAGAAACATGCCTATTTTTAGCTCACTGTCATCACCAGCATCCCGCCCCTTTGTTTAAATGACCCGGCCTGCAGCTGATTGGACTTAAAGAGAGCACAAAGCAGAAATTTGGATAGAGATGGGTTTGTAGAATGCTGGAGCTCATCTACTCCTAACTATCCTGAACTGAAAAACAGCCCCTTGTTAAGCTAGATTGAAATCCAGCTGCTTCAGCAGGGACTGGCCACATTTTGATCCATGTGTGGCCCTGTGGTTGAACAGAAGTCAATCTACAGAAGGACTTCTGTTCAACCATCCTGTTGGTATATTTTTGCTCAATCAGCGCCGCAGGCCATAGGCTGCAGCGCTTTTCTGCATATTCTAATGGATACCCCCATCCAGGGGCAGACTGACAACTCATGGGGCCCTCGGGCAATAGGGGATCATGGAGCCCCTGTGTCCTTGCCCAAACTCAAAAAAGTCTATGAAAAAGGTACCAGGGGCATCTCATGGGGCCCCCTACTGACCCCGGGCCCTCGGGCAGTGCCCGAGTTTCCATATGGTCAGTCCGCCCCTGCCCCCATCCGCCTTGAATGTGTGGATGGAGAATTGGTTCAGTTTTTCCATTCAATCTGATGGCTGAACAAAATCAACTGACTCATATATGGCCAGCTTTACCAAAAGAAAAGTGCAGAGGGTGCGACCATCTAAGTGTAGAATGTATTGTACAAAGGGTTAAAAGAAGAAATTGCACTTACATAGAGAACAATATTGCATAGACACATCATTGAGCATCACCAGGAGGACCTGAACGTATTATGCAGAGTATGCTGTGGAAGCGGCCAGGTAGTGCAGAGCTGCGCAGGGAAGCAGCTAGGGCACTGCAGAGTGCTGGGAAGCGGCTGTCACTGGATTGTAAACTGCAAAGCCAGCTTGGAATGCACAGTGATTGGATATCCAGGCAGTGGGTTCAGTTCTGGTAAAGCAGATGAGCACAAATTTAAGGGGTGTGGCTAAGCATTTCAGGGCCATATACACCTTTCTCAAGCTGCCTATATTACTACATTTATGTGCAATATGTTCTTTTAACCCTTTGTGCAATAAATTCTACACTCTGATGGTCACGCCCTCTGTACTCCTCTTTTGGTAGTTTTGTTTCTGGGGGGTTAACCCCTTACTCTGGGCTTAAGAGGAGCATTATGTCCTCCTCCTTTGAGTGACTGTGATTTTATGTTGGACTCAGGGGCGGACTGACAACTCATGGGGCCCCCGGGCAATAGGGGATCATGGGGCCCCTGTGTCCTTGCCCAAACTCAAAAAAGCCTATGAAAAAGGTACCAGGGGCATCTCATAGGGCCCCCTACTGACCCTGGGCCCTCGGGCAGTCCCCGAGTTTCCAAATGGTCAGTCCGCCCCTGGTTGGACTATTAAGAGGCCATTATTCCTCCATTTTCAGATTGCCATTTTTGTGCCACAACACATTGTTATTTATCCTTATGGCCGGCTTTAGCCTCCTTCATTTGTTATTCCTAGGAAGAAAGAAACAACAAAAGAGTGAAATAAAACAATGCAAAAGTGTCAGGAAACAAATCATCAAATACACAAAAAAAAGAGAAACAAATACATAATAAAGGACACAGAGGGTATAATAATGGTCTTTTACACACATTTTTCTTTTTTTTCTGATTGAATTCCACAGACTCCGTGGAGGAAGTTGTGCAAAACCTTTTAGGCCTGGTTTACACTCACGGACAGGGGGTGTGGTAAGATTAGGTGGTTGAGCCATGGTTTTACCGCCGAACAAGGTTGGATACGTTGTGGCAAAAATGATACCTCTGCCACAGAACGTGACCCATTCAAGGGCTGTGCTACAGCCGCATGTAATGCGTGATGGTGTCAGCTTTTGCTGGTCTAGACAGGCGGCAAGGAAGCAACATATCACCTACCAGCCTCTGGTCATCTGACCTCCAAAAAACTTTTTTTTTTGACAAATGTTACCTAAGCAGCACAAAGAGCAAAACCGAGAATTTTTTTTTCAGCACAATTGGTACTTTCATGGCAAAAATCAATATTGCCGCCCAGGGGCGGACTGACCATTAGAGCATTCGGGTACTGCCCGAGGGCCCGGGGTCAGTAGGGGGCCCCATGAGATGCCCCTGGTACCTTTCATTGGCTTTTTCATAGGCTTTTTTGGGTGTGGGCGAGGACACAGGGGCCCCATGATCCCCTATTGCCCGGGGGCCCCAAGAGTTGTCAGTCCGCCCCTGTTGCTGCCATTGCTGCCACTCATTGGCGGTACTGTTGTCACATGATCGGCATTGTCATCTCTGGGAAATTGTTACTTTTTCTTTTCTCCTATTATTGTGGGGAATCTTTAGGCCACATTCCCACCTGTGAATGGGCCCCACACTGATTACATGTGAGAACCCCAGCAGTAAGCGGTCGGCCCTGGATGCAGACAGGGAATACATGCGAGTGGCTGCATTTAGCTGCTGGAGCCAGCAGCCTTTCATGTCTCTCAATGGGGCTTCCTCCCCGCCGCCAATCACTGGGAACACCCACTGGGGTTGTCGCATGTAATCGTTCTTGGGCTCATTCACAGGTGTCAATGTGGCCTTATAAAGTGGCAGATGCGACTTTCACCAAACATTCGCTGGTGGTGAATCAATCTTTTTCATTGATTACATATGTACCTGGACGATTCACAAAAATACGAACGCTGCTCCGAGTTGGTCAACCATTGGCCGCCAGCAGACGCACGCTCAGCTCATCACGGTCCACCACGCAGTGAATGTTAGATTTGCTGACTTATAAATATGCCCCATTGGTCATTTTTGCGATTGATTGAAAACGCCCAGTTGCAGCTGATAACCGATTAATCGCATTGGTCTGTATTTGGATTGGATCTCCAGCACACACAGGCAGATATTGGAAGCGATCGACCAACATTCTGCGATCGCTGTCGATGGGGGCGGTGATTGATCACATGGATATATATATGATATGGATCTGCATTACTGCTGTAGTTTGATTTGTATTAGTAGATGATCTCTGAGCCCCCCAGACTAGCCACCATACACCCCCCAGTCTGGATATTGGGGTGATTATTGATCCACTGGGATCAATCAGCGATCCCCTCCCCTCCCCCAGTGATCGGGGGTGTCTGGTCCCCGGGCACACACCATGCAGCTCCCTCTCTGCTCTACACAATGGCTGGCAGGCAGCACAATGGGTGACACACACCGTATACACAGTCCCCCTCCCATTGGCCGGCCGGGTGGGTGAGGGGCAGCGGAAGGTCCAGGCTCCGCCCCCTCCAGGACACGTTCTCATCACATACACACAGTGCATGCACAGGGCTGGGAGACATGGGCCGAGCACAGCGGGAGATGGGGCCGTGCAGGGACTGAGCCGAGCTTACCCGACACCGTACCCCGCCGACACCGAGCAGCGCACAGCCCCGACATCCTCCTCCTCCCCCGCCTGTCTGCGGCCCGAGATCGGCTTCTCACATCGACATGTTCGCCAAGGGGAAAGGATCGGCGGTGCCGTCCGACGGCCAGGCCCGGGAGAAGTAAGCGGGGCTGGGGGAGGGGATGGCTTCCTGGGGGTGCTGCCACTTTAAATGGCGTCCTCCCGGATGGAGGAAGGGGTGCTGTGCCTTTAACTGGGCGACCTCCATTGTCATGTGTGCGGCCCCTTTAAATGGAGGCCCCCTATTGTAGTGTGTGCGCTTCCCCTTTAACTGATTATCACCAATGGCTGGGTGTGAGTCCCCTTTAACTGGTGTCCCCTTATGGCTATGTGTTTGCACTTTAACCAGTGATCACCAATGGCAGTGTGTGCTTCCCCTGTAACCCACGGTCCCCCTATGGGGTTGTGTGCTTCCCCTGTAACCCACGGTCCCCCTATGGGGTTGTGTGCTTCCCCTGTAACCCACGGTCCCCCTATGGGGTTGTGTGCTTCCCCTGTAACCCACGGTCCCCCTATGGGGTTGTGTGCTTCCCCTGTAACCCACGGTCCCCCTATGGGGTTGTGTGCTTCCCCTGTAACCCACGGTCCCCCTATGGGGTTGTGTGCTTCCCCTGTAACCCACGGTCCCCCTATGGGGTTGTGTGCTTCCCCTGTAACCCACGGTCCCCCTATGGGGTTGTGTGCTTCCCCTGTAACCCACGGTCCCCCTATGGGGTTGTGTGCTTCCCCTGTAACCCACGGTCCCCCTATGGGGTTGTGTGCTTCCCCTGTAACCCACGGTCCCCCTATGGGGTTGTGTGCTTCCCCTGTAACCCACGGTCCCCCTATGGGGTTGTGTGCTTCCCCTGTAACCCACGGTCCCCCTATGGGGTTGTGTGCTTCCCCTGTAACCCACGGTCCCCCTATGGGGTTGTGTGCTTCCCCTGTAACCCACGGTCCCCCTATGGGGTTGTGTGCTTCCCCTGTAACCCACGGTCCCCCTATGGGGTTGTGTGCTTCCCCTGTAACCCACGGTCCCCCTATGGGGTTGTGTGCTGCCCCTGTAACCCACGGTCCCCCTATGGGGTTGTGTGCTGCCCCTGTAACCCACGGTCCCCCTATGGGGTTGTGTGCTGCCCCTGTAACCCACGGTCCCCCTATGGGGTTGTGTGCTGCCCCTGTAACCCACGGTCCCCCTATGGGGTTGTGTGCTGCCCCTGTAACCCACGGTCCCCCTATGGGGTTGTGTGCTGCCCCTGTAACCCACGGTCCCCCTATGGGGTTGTGTGCTGCCCCTGTAACCCACGGTCCCCCTATGGGGTTGTGTGCTGCCCCTGTAACCCACGGTCCCCCTATGGGGTTGTGTGCTGCCCCTGTAACCCACGGTCCCCCTATGGGGTTGTGTGCTTCCCCTGTAACCCACGGTCCCCCTATGGGGTTGTGTGCTTCCCCTGTAACCCACGGTCCCCCTATGGGGTTGTGTGCTGCCCCTGTAACCCACGGTCCCCCTATGGGGTTGTGTGCTGCCCCTGTAACCCACGGTCCCCCTATGGGGTTGTGTGCTGCCCCTGTAACCCACGGTCCCCCCTTATGGCTATGTGTTTGCACTTTAACCGGTGATCACCAATGGCAGTCTGTGCTTCCCCTTTAACCGGTGGTCCCCCTACAGTGATGTGTGCTGCTCCTTTAACTGGTGGCCCCAATGGTGATGTGTGCTTCCCCTTTATGCCCTCCTTTGCCCTCCCCCCTGTTGATGTGTGCTTTCCCCTTAAACCGGGGGTCCCTCAATGGCGATGTGTGCTTTCCCCTTTAACTGGGGGGGTCCCCCAATGGCGATGTGTGCTTTCAGCTTTAACCGGGGGGGGTCCCCTAATGGCGATGTGTGCTTTCCCTCTAAATGGTCAGCATGTATAAAGTGACTGCTGTTCATGAACCATTATTCCCTTGTAGAAATGTGTGGAGCCCCCTATAACCATTTAGTCCTATAGTAAGGCTGGCTGTACTTCTGACTCTCCATGGTTATGATTGCTGCCCCTCTTCCATTCTCCTCTATTGTGATGTGTGATCTCCTTTTACATATCACCACTGTACTGATCTCCGAAGTCCCTCCATTTATCCCTATGGTAATGCCATGTGTCTCTTTATCCACGAAGACATACTATGAGGATTGCTTCTGCTCTGTAACAGCCTGTGATGTCCTAGTAACATCTACCCCTCTAGTTATGTACTGCTCCCTTATCAGTTCATCCTTCTAATGATATCTAGAGTCCCTCTATCCATTCAGTCCTGTAGTGATGTCTGCTTCCTCTTTAATTATTCAACCATGAAGTATATTTGGCCTCCCTTTAGCTGTTCCCCTATAATGGTTGTCGTTGCTCTTTAGTTCTTCTGGTGTTTTCCGGTGTTTGATAACTGTTTACCCCACGTGGATGTTTCTGGTGTTCCTCTAGGTATGCTCCAGTGTGGTATCTAGTGTCTCTTTACCCCCCCCCCCCCCCACTTAAACTATCCCCCTAGTGGGTGTTTCTGGGGCCCCTTTAGTCATTAACTGCTGTAGAGGTATGTTCTGCCACTTTAACCATATACTATTTTTTTAGCCGTCTGGTGCTGCTCCTATGTAACCCAAATTCATCCACCCCTATGTTGTCCCTGGTGTACTATTTCTGGTCATTGACCCTCCTTGTAAATTCTGATGTCTCCTAACTGTTCATCCCTATAGAACAGTCTGGTATTTCTTGTCAGCCAGGCACCCCAGTGATGGCAAATATGGTCTTGTCTCTACTATCCCCAATAAAGGCTGTTCCCTAAAATTCATGCCGAGTGTCATCTCTAACCTAATCACCTTTATGTCTGATGATCCCTGCTCTCTGTACCCATTTTGTGATGTCTGGTGTTCCTCAAAGCGGGTCTCCATTGATGTCCTCGCTTTACTCCTACTCCTAGATTTACTCCTTCTATATGTTTA